AGAAAAGGCATTACCTACAAAGGAACTGCAATTAGACTGACAGCATACTTTTCACAGGAACAATGGAAGCCAGGTGACAGCAAACAGTATATCCTATGTGTTGAGAGAAACTTACTGTCCATTAAGAGTTGTGAACTCAAACTGCTCTCCCTGCAAAACCCTGAATACTCATTTTCCAGAATGAGGCAAAATAAAGACATTTCAGTTAAACAAAAACTGCAAGAATTTACCATTAACAGACTTCCATGAAAACAACTTCTAAAGGAAGGAGGAAGGAAAATGATTAGAGAAGGAAGGTCTAAGACACAAGAAGGAATGATTAAAAAAAAGAAGTTGGTAAACATGTAGGAAAATGTAAATAAACACTGTCTATATAGTAAGAATATTACTACTACTGATGTCTAATTTGTGAGTGTAACAACAACAAGAACAACAAAAAACCCTAAAACTTTTGGACAAAAATACCAAGAAAGTCAGAAAAGGAGTAATTTGAACTAACATTGGAAAGGGAGTGAAGACCATGATTAACTTTGGAACTTTAGAGTTTAGTAAGTAAGCATTTCGATGGTAATCACTAAGAGAGTACAAAGTGTGTAACTTCCATACCATCAGAGATGAAAAAATAAATTTATCAGTCTAACACTTTTGTGATTTATGAAAAAGCATTAAGTAATAGACTTTACTAAATTTAAGTTAAACATACTAAGAAAATTCCCCCAAAGGAGACCCGATTCTTCAGGTTTCAAATGGGAGCTCAGTGTATTTAGAGAATGAGGTTTCACTTACCTTACGTGGTGGCGTGGACTTCCCAGAATCTAAATCTAGATCTAGGTATTCCACTTGTTTGTCTCCTTTGGGCTTGATCATTGGGCTGTTTCCTCCATCAAGACTATTACTGCCAAAAAGATTCTGAAAGTAAAATACAACAAAATCAACTGTCAAACATTCACGAGACATATTGCTTATTACCTTGTTTGCCATCTACTCAAGTCTAAATAGTAATTTTAAGAGGACACAGCTTGAAGAAACATCTCCTTAGAAAATTAAATAATCTTTTAGGATGGGGAAAAATAAGTAATATTTTAAAAATTGATTAAAACATAGCATAGGTAAGCAAGCTAAAAGTAGTTTGAAAAGTAAAACTTGGTTCAGACTAAGACTGGGCCATCAAGCTACAGTTAACTGCAACAGTTCCTTCTTTCCTTTTTTTTTTTTTTTTCCGGCTGTGCCGTGCAGCTTAAGGAATCTTAGTTCCCTTACCAGGGACTGAACCCAGGCCCCCGGCAGTGGAAGTGCCAAGTCCTAACCACTAGACCGCCAGGGAATTCCCAGTTGGAATAGTCTAACTCAATGCTATTAAAATGATATTTTAAAATGATATCTGTTCTCATTAACGCTATTAAAATGATATCTGTTCTCAATAACATTCTTTAACTATAGGATCCTTATAGTCCATGCTTTCAAATTAAATTTTTTTAGGGATCGACCAAGATGGCGGAGTAGAAAGACCCTGAGCTCACCTCTCAAATTAAAATAAAATTTAAAGTTCTATATTTGAGTTAAAGGCTTTCACACTAAAATCAATTTAGAATAAGTACGGTAGCTAAGGGCTATGCCTACTGACTCCATTAATAAAGTCTGTTTTGTTTCAACCGCCTGGAATTTTTACCACTTAATTTTCTGTCTTCTTATCCTTTCTGTCCTAATAGGAACTGTACAACAGAAGGACTCCTCTCTAAGAAAAGAAAAAGAAAAAAGGAAGGGAGAGGACAGCAATGAACAACAAGAATGAAAAAGCTTGAGGCAGAAAAATGAAAAAGAAATAGGTTATTAGGAACATGAAGATCAATGCTAAATAAAAAGGAAAGGACGACGTGAACTTATGTCCCTACATGCACCCGCTACTCTGATCGTGACAGTCTTCAAATGTGCTCCAACAAATGACTTGTTTCCATGCCTTGCTGCTTTTAACCTCACCTGGGAATGTTCCTGACTTCTCAGGACACTACATATTCATTAGGGACTTTCATCCCTGTGGCTTCTATCACAGAGGTATTATTGTTCACATGTTAGCTTATACTTTTGAAGAAAACCGTACCGATGTAATCAACTTGACAATTTTATACTTGTTAGGATGAACAACGTGATTTGGAAACTGCATAAATCTGGTCCTGCTGTTTCTTTCATATTGCTATTCCATTTTGTTTGTTAAGCTGTGACTTAGGGAAAGGACAATTGCTAGGAAAATACTGAGTTTACTCTTGGTGAGGGGAACATGGTCTGGGTCGCATGTACTCAGATGCAGCATTTGTGCGGCCTATTGTATATCCTACATACTGTATGCGGCATGTGTATGCAGCAGACAACCTGCACTACTGAATGTGATGGCCCTATTTGTAGGAACAGATTTTTAAACCAAATTTATCAACTACCGCTAATAAAACATTAAAAACATATTGACAGTAACATGTAGGGCACAAAAAATGTAAGCAAGTGTCAGTGCTCAATTAGTACAAATAGCTATCCCCTCCCCCTCTTTCTTCTAATTCATGAAAAAACTGAAATTTTTTTCTGCAAATGACTCTATATTTCATTCTCACATAAAAAAACCAAGCCAGATTGCATGGTGTGTGTGTGTGTGTGTGTGTGTGTGTGTGTGTGTGCGTGCGTGTGTGTGCATGTGTAAAATTTTGTATTCAAATGTAATGACAGAGCCCATACCTGAAATTTCCCTAATTGGAAACATCTAGAATTATTCACGGTGTTGTAGGCTACGAAAGAAACCCTTAAGTTCATATGATGTACACATTTAATCTCAGTAAGCTGTTCTTAAAGAGAATTTCTCAGAATTGCTAGTTCAACTGTACTCTGTCTAATTACTAGGACTAGAAATGTTTTCATCTTCAAGTATTGTTAAAATGTGTGTCCCTCCAAAAAGTCTATTTGCTCTTGATCTAATCTAATCTCAACTGGGAACAGCCTGCCTCTGCATTCTAGGCTTTAACCCAGTGTTTTCCCAAGACAGTTTAGAAAAACCCTAAGATTTGAAGAGTTATTATGAAGTGTTCTGTGAATGAAAAGAAAAAATATAGTAGTACTTTGTTTTTCTAAAATTCTTGAAAAAAATACATAAAATTATTGAACATACTTTTGATGTTGTTACAAACAATATATATGTCTTTAGTAACGATGTACTGTCACTTGAATTTCAGGCGACACATTAAGGGTTCATTTCACGAATGCTTGACTTTGGATGTTTGTACAAAAAACAGGCAGCATCACCAATTCACTGTTTCATTAGACACTGCCTGCTCCATGATCACCAGTATAGGAAACAGACTGTGCTTCAACATTTCAATGTACAGAATTTAATTTTCATTGTCCCTATAAACCAGATTTGATCCAATCCTGTTTCAAATTCTCCAAGACTAATTTTTTACCGACTTCATCAACCTGAGCATATGTGAGACCTTGTGAACGTCTATGGCTCTCCACTGATACACTAAATTCCACGAGGTGTGGGAAATATTGCTGTAACTATCACATTCATTCCTAAGGAAAAGCTGTTTGGACTAAATGAGCCCTTGCAATTGGTGGCATAAGATGGAAATGGCACAGCTGACTTTTCTATTGTGAATGGCAGATGGATATTTTCACTTGGGACATTTTTGCTTATTTCTAACCCTTAGGGCCTCAGTACCTTAGAAATTCACCATCTGGTGGTTATTTAGACACCTCTACTGTGCAGGTAAAATTACCTTTCTGGCTTAGTGTTATACTATACAAAAGAACAATTTTATATCTTCCTTTCCTTTGACTTTCTGATTGTAACGGATTTTTTCTAGATTTTTCCCTTCACCTAACACCTACTCATGACAAATCATACTTTCAAACTTTCCTATTACAGGTCCTTTCCAATATTTTTATGTTTATTTACTATTTTGGGCAAAATAAAAGATTCTTTAGTATCTCAGAAAAGAATTACTTTTGTAATTAAAAAATTCATTTAACCACCTAAAGATGAAAATTGAGGGTAATATGTACTCCAATGCAGCACTGAGGATTTACTTAGATTTTTTTTTTTGTGGTACGCGGGCCTCTCACTGCTGCGGCCCCTCCCGCTGCGGAGCACAGGCTCCGGATGCCGCGCAGGCCCAGCGGCCATGGCTCACGGGCCCGGCCGCTCCGCGGCACGTGGGATCCTCCTGGACTGGGGCACGAACCCGCGCCCCCTGCATCGGCAGGCGGACCCTCAACCACTGCGCCACCAGGGAAGCGCTACTTAGACTCTTACTAGAGTCTGTTTACTATAATGAAGAAAAAAAATTAAGTTAATAAAAATAAAAAAACACTACTCATCAAATGGAAAAATTACGAATCCAGAAGTGAAAGTCAGTTAATAAAAACTGCCCTACCTTGAAACATTAGTGAAAATGTTATTGTTATAGTTCATTTGTATTCTAATATGTATTCTAATATTCTCAACCACTGTGCCACCAGGGAAGCCCTGACATAAATATTTTAAATTATCTTATTCATTTTTGAATACTTTATGAATTTGATAATATTTTACAGTTAATTCAAGCATCAAATCAGGCTTTTCAAATCACTTAATTTTGTTCCCTGACAAATGGTCATGAGAAATCTGTTTCTGCCTAAAGTCCATTAAAGACATAAATTCAATGAAAAAATAGGGCTTTATATATTGAATCTCTGAACAGAATTGTTTTAAAGAAAATAAAGTAAAATGTTACTCATGCCAAATTTTGACATTAGATATTTGCTTATCATATGCTGCCTGGTTGTGCCCCATGATCTGTTCTCCCCTTTCCACCGGGAAGGGGATTTTTAGCCAGGCCCACTGTCCCTCGGTACAAAGGCTACGGTTTCCAGTCCCTTTCGTGTCTATGTGGCCAGAGGCTAAGTTCTGGTCAACAGTTTGTACTCAGCAGTTTCTGGGAACCTTCTCTATGAGGCAATTGGGCTGCATCCTTTGCTTCTTCTTTCTTCCCTCCATTCTGCAGCCTGGAATGTGAATCTGCTGGCTGGACCATCATCTTGTTCTACTGAGCCTGTGAGCCAGACCCAGGGGACAGCAGTCTGGAAAGCAGCAAGGGGCAAGGATCCCCGAGGGCTCCTGGAACAAAAAGCTACCACAACAACCACGGATTGACTCTCTGGACTTCTACATGAGAAAGAAATAAACGTCTGCCTTAAGTCCTTGTTATTTGCTTATTTTCTGTTACTCAGAGGGGATCCTAATGCCAACTGATATACTTATCTATTAAAAAGCAAATAACAGAGCAAGCAGTGTCTCTGGTTTGAGGCAAAGCAAAAGGAAAAGATTTTTAAAAAATTAAAATTGGCTTGTATTTTTAAACATCTGAAGTATTTTCTGGCAACTACCTGATTTCTGGGGAACATAATGCTTGCTACTATTACAAAATTCTTGGGCCTTGGGGTAATAACAGTCAGTCTGAGGTAAATCAGGTCTTCTTTTAACAGGTCTTCTTTGATCTTTAAGCCCTACCTAAGGATATATTATTGAAAGATTATTAAAAACCCTCGGCATAAGATTGTTTCACTCTGAGTGTGCTGACGTGGGTCTGGAGAAATGCATTATAAAATGCTTTCCAGTAAAAAGTATTTTTTTTGAATAGTTTCAAAAGCGAAGTACATCTTAAAAGAAATATAACTGGAAAACTTTTGTGATTTTTAACTAACTTGTATCTACTTTATAGATATTAATATTACACTTTGACCCTTTATTGGTTTTTAGACTTGATGATGCTGTTTTCCAAAAGCATTTTTATATAAAGTTTTTTTTTTTTTTAATTTTTAAAATTTATTTTAGTTTTGGCTGCGTTGGGTCTTCATTGCTGCGTGCGGGCTTTCTCTAGTTGCGGGGTGAGCGGGGGGTACTCTTTGTTGTGGTGCACGGGCTTCTGATTGTGGTGGCTTCTCTTGTTGCAGAGCACGGGCTCTAGGCGCGTGGGCTTCAGCAGTTGTGGCACACGGGCTCTAGAGCGCAGGCTCAGTAGTTGTGGCGCATGGGCTCAGCTGCTCTGCGGCATGTGGGATCTTCCCGGACCAGGGCTCAAACCCGTGTTCCCTGCATTGGCAGGCGGATTCTTAACCACTGCGCCACCAGGGAAGCCCCCAAAAGCATTTTTAAAAAGTTGTCTTTTATCCTTTTTCCTTAAGTAAAGAAAGATGGAAGGGTAAGGTGTATGGACTGGAAGAAAGGTCTAGTGTGAATGATTCAGAAGGGCTGCTCAGGAAGAGAGACGTTAAGAGAAGATTCTACTTACTGAGTCTTCACTGGACAGGTTTGGGTTCATGGGAACATAATTCTCTTCACTGTCATGTGAGTCGCTGCTTGAAGTCGTGCTGTGCACTGAATCCGGCCGGGGAGACATGGGAAACCTGGAGGAGCTGATTACAGAGATGACCATCACAAACACACATCCTGACCAAAATTTCTCAATTCGCTTTGAAAGTAAAAATGAGTGACAGTATACATTCTTCCAGAAACATTTATGCTTACAATCATTTATAGTATGCATTTATTACTGTACAATTTATCACACACATTCAAATGCACAACTAATATTTATAGCTATTTGTAAAGGGATATTTTCTTTTTTTTTTAATTTTTGAATTTTTTACACAATTCTGAAAGGTTACTTTCCATTTACGGTTATTACAAAATGTTGGCTTTATTCCCCGTGTTGTACAATACATCCTCGAGCCTATCTTACACCCAAGATAAGCTCCCACTTATCTCGTAGTGGGAGGTGGTTTGTACCTCCCACTTCCGCACGCTATTTCCACCCCCACCCCACACCCCGCCACTGGTAGCCACTAGCTTGTTCTCTATGTCTTCAAGTCTGCTTCTGTAAAGGGATATTTCTGAGCATCAAAGTACCTTCTGCAGGATAAAGAAGATGTGGCACATATATACAATGCAATATTACTCAGCCATAAAAGGAAACGAAATTGAGTTATTTGTAGTGAGGTGGATGGACCTAGAGTCTGTCATACAGAGTGAAGTAAGTCAGAAAGAGAAAGACCAATACCGTATGCTAACACATATATATGGAATCTAAGGAAAAAAAAAAAAAATGTCATGAAGAACATAGGGGCAAGACGGGAATAAAGACACAGACCTACTAGAGAATGGACTTGAGGACACGGGGAGGGGGAAGGGTAAGCTGGGACGAAGTGAGAGAGTGGCATGGACATATATACACTACCAAACGTAAAACAGATAGCTAGTGGGAAGCAGCCGCATAGCACAGGGAGATCAGCTCAGTGCTCTGTGACCACCTAGAGGGGTGGGATAGGGAGGGTGGGAGGGAGGGAGATGCAAGAGGGAGGAGATATGGGGATATATGTATATGTAAAACTGATTCACTTTGTTATAAAGCAGAAACTAACACACCATTGTAAAGCAATTATACTGCAATAAAGATGCTAAAAAAAACCCAACAACAAAGCACCTTCTGCAGAACAACGAAAAAAGTACTGCTAGTGATGTGGAGGATAAGTAGAAAGACACAGATATAAAAAGGAAGATTTAAGAATTACTATTTAAAAAACCTATACACACACACACACACACACACACACACACACACACACACATTCACACACGTACACATTCAACACAGGTTTGTAACTACAAACATTCTTTTGATTTCCACATATACATTTAAATGAATCTCCGTTAAATAATCCCTACAAGAAACTACCGTATTTTCCAGAGCAGTAGTTCTCAGAAACTTCTAGCCTCATGAACCTTTCACACTCTTAAAATTTATTGAGAACCCCAAGGAACTTTGGTTAATATGATGGGTGATATCTACCGATATTTACCACGTTACCTATAGTAGAAAAAAAAATTTAAAAAGACAAGTGTACACAAATACATACACTATTAGCTGTCACGACGATATCGTCCAATATTATGCCACCTCTGGAAAACTCCAGTGTACACTCATGAGAGAAGGAGAGTGGAAAAGCAAATGACATCTTAGTATATTCATGAAAATAGTTCTGACCTCACAGAACCCCAAAAAGGGAGGCTCCCCAGACCATCCTTTGGGAACCACTGTTCTAGGTACTCGCCATTATAATGAACAATCAAGCTAAGTATTTTAAACAAAGACTTACTCTCGAGCAAAACTCCTAGTGATGGGAGATCTTACTGGGGCTTGTAATTCTTCCCATTCTGGCAAAGGTTTTATTTCTAAAGGTGCTGGCTTGACTGAAACAAAAGAGAAAAAAAAGAGACTTTAGCATACAGAAATTTGGAAAGCAAAACAAGACCCTCTTTCCACATCTCTATTTATACATTATAGCTACAGTACACCTAGGACCAGCTTCGTTTCACACATGAAAAGAAGTACACTGATGTCATGTGATTTTTCCAAGGTCACACAGCTAAAAAATTAGTGGCAAAAGCTGAATCAGATAATGTTTCCTGATCGTTGACTGAACGTCTAAATAAAACTCTATTATTACAACATGTTGCTTCTTAAGTAAATATTTTATGAATATAAACAATGAGAACAAGAAAGAGTAATGTGACCCAATTCCTTCATAGTTACTTGATTTATACTTTTCATTATTTCCTTATTTTATTTTTTTCACTAATTTTCTCCTCACACACGGACATTTAATTTTCTATGTAAAAACAGTCCTCGTCATCAACACTGAAGCATCATTTATACAACTATACATATAAAATGATGTTTAGGAAGCAATAAACACAAAACTTCGCTAAAACCAAAAACTGACAAAAAGAATTAATAACCAAATCTTTTAAATTAATTCAGGCCCAGTCTGGAACCAAATAAAACAAAGCAATAATTATATCTTTATACTCAAACTCTGCTCTGAGAAAAGGCCACAATTTAACAATTGCCTCAAATTTTTAGCTTAATTTTTTTTATTTTTTGCGGTACGCGGGCCTCTCCCTGCTGTGGCCTCTCCCTTTGCGGAGCACAGGCTCCGGACGCGCAGGCCCAGCGGTCATGGCTCACGGGCCCAGCCGCTCCGCGGCATGTGGGATCTTCCCGGACCGGGGCACGAACCCGTGTCCCCTGAATCGGCAGGCGGACTCCCAAGCACTGCGCCACGGGGGAAGCCCTTAGCTTAATTTAACCAACAATATCCTTTAACAAATTAAGTAAAAATAAATGCTAATGTTCTTATTAGCTTGATTTATAAGTTGTCTTTGCTTATTTACCCTATTATTGCAGTGGACAATTAATTACTCTGCCGGTATATATTCCACAGAGCTCTCTGACCTTAAAGTAAGACTCAGTTTTCAGAAATTCATGACATGGGCAAAAGAACTTCAACAATATTATTTGTTAATATTCATTATATTTTAGGATACTATTTAAACATATTAGGTCAATATTTTAGTTACACGTCATCCTGCCACTCTAAAGAAAAAGTCTTCATTTTTTCCAGGCATCCCTCCTCTAGTCTTTGTGCATATATGTGTACATTGAATCAACCAAGTTATAATTACCTTTCAACTATAAAATAGGTAGTCATTTTAAAGGATTATGTTAGATTCTCTGGGGTTTATGCCGAAGTATTTTTGGCAACTCAAATACAAAAAAATTCAATGAGATTTTCTGAAGGCTACGTTGATTTAAGTTTGAGTTAAAATAATTTTGCTCACCTATACACTTAAAATGGACATGTACAGAATGCTGTGCTCACTTGCAAGTAGTTCTTTAACTCTGATGTTTTCACTTTTTTTAAAACACAGAGGCTGATAGCTGCTTAGCTGTCAAATTCTAAGTAATGGCATAAAATAATGAATCCATGGAAATGACTGTATATTGTCTCAGAACAGAATATATACATTATACATAAATACAGGAGACAATTGGAGCTCACAAGCATCTCACAAGCTTAAAGAAAACACTCTATTGATGTCTAAAAGGTTAAAAGAATAACGCAAAAGGAAAAGACTGAATATCATATATTATCAAATATTTAACATGCTGCTGTTAATGGCATAACAAATATCCTCGTTGTGTATTATGGGAAGCATTCACTTTAGAAATTACGTGCTGGGAAGTTTTATTTACAAGAAAATAGTATTTAAGGCTCTTCTCCTTTACTTTTAAAGGAAACAACATCACAGAATAAATAAATTCCCAACACCCCATCCAGCATGCGGTGCTAAAGTACATACCCTTTCTTCTTGTAGCAAAGTCACCTATGGTTTGTGAATCAGTTCGCTCTAAACCATGGGGTTTGGGTCTTAAAATTTTAGGACTTTGACCTAATTGGTAAAAAGAAGACTCTCTTAATATAATGTTATTTTTTTAATTGGAAAAAAAATGGATTCTGTAAAAAAGCAACAGAGCCCTGAGCAAACATGTTACATCTCAAAAGCATAAACAGAAGTTATGTTTGTGGAGACTATTTCAGTCTGGCTATGCATATCATTCATGCTCAATACCATGGGAATGCGGAAGCTGCATGCAACAATGTAATAAGCAAACTGTTATATAAGATGGTAGGGTTTTAGTGGCATAACTTCTTGGTTAGTTGTTACCTTTACTTGGAGGAAGAGAGGAAAAACATGTGTCATGTTAGTTACTCTTCTAACATGCCTTAGAAAACTGGAACCAATAAAAAATTATAAAACCTCTCAGTCAGATCGCAAGTACATCTTTTCTTTGAAGTCTGGTGTCTCATACGAAAGTACCAAGGCCTACTTTCTAGACAGAGGTGTTTTAAAAACCTTAACCTGACTACTCTTTCACCACCTGAAAGCGCCCGTCTAGAGAAGTTCTATTGATACAATGTCTGTTAATACAAAGTCAAAACCAAGACCAGCATTTCTCTTCCCTGAACACTCAGTGGTTGCCCCCGTGACACCATTTTGCAAGGATTAGATGTCTAGATTCTGGGTAGCTTTAATTTGAGAACTGGAAAGTATAAATTCAGTTGCCATCTTTTTTTTTTTTTTTTCGTTTAATCTCTGTTACGTACTAGTACCGCTGAAAAGCCTTATGAAAAGTACAGGTTTAATACCCAGCAGCTGGCCTAATAGTTTTTCCCACTAGAAGCCTGGATGCCAGAGTAGCAAATATCATTTCAATCAGGAATTTAAACCACTTCATTCTCAATGGCACCAAATTCTCTTTTTTCTTGGCATGTACAAAACTGAGTTGACATCTATTAGATGGAAAATAATATTAGAGTTCGCTGATGCAGTGCTGATCTCTAGCACCTTACTGACCAAAATCTACAAGTTCTTGAAAAGATGATTTTCTAGCTTATAAAACATGAAAATTTCCTAACTCTCTCAAGTACTCTCAAGGGTACTCCTTGGCATTCTTCACAGAAAGATACCGTATTAAGTGAATTTTTTAATAGTGCATTTATAAAATTTCCATGTATTTTCTACTCCATGCAAAGCTTAAGGCTGAGTTTAGGACAAACGCCTCAAGGTGAAAATGTTGCCCTGAAGTGAACCTAGTCGCTCAGGCATTTTGGTAGCTTCATTTCTTTTGTTATTTTTACGCCTGGCTCAATTTGACATTTATGTTCCAGACAGAAATGCAAGTGATACTCAAATGATGGCTCGGTATTACTTATGAGGAGAGAAAGGAAAAAAAGTCCAAGGTGTATGTACTTCTCCTCTGCTGCCTAGAGGCAAATACTGGAATGTTTCTCTAATTACTTAAGTGCGACAATAAAGGGTATGAGATAAGACTAAAGCAGAGGCAGAAAATGAACCAACTCCGGGGATACACTGATTCTCATATTCTAAGAGTCAACAGTGTTAAATAACTCACTTGAGCCTCAGCTTTTAAATCCAAGACAGTTAGAAGGAGGCTTTAGCTAGATTAGATTTGAACAAAGAAAGCGACATGATGCATTTCTTTAGCAAAGAGCACCCCATTGTGCTTTAACCCTCAGGGGTTAAAACAATCTCACCCGGGGCTGTCAATCTCTGGATCACGTGATCTGCTCCCTCATTTGGAGCACAATTTGGTAAATCTTAACCTCTGGTTCAGATCTCCCCTAAGATCCTTACTGGCATACCTACAAAGTCACCCCACATGGAGGTTCTGTAGGCTTTCACACTGCATGTTCGAAATGGAATTTCTCTTCTGGGACCCACCACACCTGCTTTGTTTCCTCTGTCTGCAGTTGCCATAGCCGATCTCTAGATTCCACTTTCTCTCTGATATCCCTTTATCAATTTTACTTTCTATTTATAATGGCAATAGTTTGTTTTCATTTATCCAAGAAAATTAAAGAATCTGTAAGTCTGAAGTCCTGGCTTCCTTTTTTTAATGTGCACTGCACTTACCTGGTTTGTTTTTCTGAAAGTGAACTCACACTGTATGGCTAAATGACCTCCACTTACACTCCAAGTGGCCTCCAAACTTGTAAAAATCACTCACTCTAGGTCCCCAAGTGGAGACAGCTATTTCGGAGTCAGGACAGTGACTTTTGTTATGCCTTCCTGTCTTATCATCTCTAAAGCGAGGCATCAAGAACCCTGGGTTTGGAACACGGGGCAAAGCACTCTTTAAAGAAGATGTTGGAAAAAAGTGTGATTTTATAACAGTTTGCATTCAAAAATACCATTTTTCCCCTCTGGTATCCTTAAATCTTAGAATGAGCTTTCTAGGGGCCAACCTGATTATGTTACTTGCCTACATAAAACCCTTTAATGGTGTTCTCAGAATAAAGCCCAAACTCATTAGCATGGATTATAAAACCCCCAGGAGCTGGCACCTGCCAGGCATTTGGCATTCGTTCCTGCATTCATACTTTCCTCCCTCCCACCCAAGACTCTGAGCCAGTCCCCTCTTTTTAAAGGATCTGGGTATGCTGCTTATTCTGATAGAAGATCCTCTATCATCATTTCATTGCCACTCACCCTCTGAGATTCTCCTCAGAGGAGACAGCCTGCAGGGCCAAGAGCTAACCTCAACCACAAGCCCCCTTCTGTGCTAATTATGATAATGTGTTTACTTTTCCACTTTCCCACTAAATGGGAGCTTCTTTAGAGAAGCCACCTGTCCTTCCTTGGGTTTCCAGACCCCAGACCTATCAGAGGGTACATCCTATAGCTGGGAGGCCCTTCAATCTGTTTGGATGAACTGCAGTTCTCTTAAAGCTTAATCTGATGGTGGTGTTTAATCTGATCAATGTCATAACTTTGTGCTTGCCTTTGAAGGAAAAAAAAGAAAAGAAGAGCAACTGAATGTTGTT